GAATAGAGCTTATTATATTTTTCCTTTCTTTCTTTCTTTCAACAGGAGCGCTCAGAGGAGTTCTTAGTCAAACGAGTCACGCGTTGTGTTTCTCGGTATAGTAGTTTGAATGGTGCTCGTAGATAGACAATAGAGTTTCCCGTTGGCGGAACTGGCAGAAAGGGCAGACCCGTACGTTGGCATATCGGAGGAGCGATGACCCGTGAAGGCAGCCGTGAGCAGTCCGCGCTCAAAAGGAGCCCGTTAACAATAGAAGCCCGCATGGTGCTCCCAAGTAGGCGAAGAAAAACAATGCGGTGTCGCGCAGACGTCGCCGGGGCCTGCCTGCTTCTTAGTGACCGTGCAGCGACCAGCCGCGAGCTCTAGTTTTACGGAAGCCCAGACAGTAAGAATGCAGACACCACGCCCAGCTGTCGTCCGAAATGCGTACATGTGGGGGGCCCTACACTCGTCAAACACAAAGTTGGAGCCGAAAGTTGGCGGAGAGCGCCGAGTGGACGTCGGCGAAAAAAGCGCGAAGTCATCGGCGTGAGAGGCCAATCAGTGCGCTCCGTCAACTTCGGCCTCAACTTTGTGCTTGACGAGTTTAGAGGCCTTGATGGGGACTCAAAACTATCTATTAAGCTTTTTTTTTCTTTTTCTTTCTTCTGAATTTGTTGTTTATATATTTTGTTTTACCTTATCTCAGAGCGCAGCCGATGGAGTCTACCAAGCAGCGCCAAAAGCGCGACGTCACGGTGTTCCTCGTCTTCCTGTGTTCGTACGATCATCCAGCATTCCCTACGCAATGTGCGTGACTCTACTCTACCCCCCCCCCCCCCCCTTTCTCGCTTCTCTCTCTCTCTCTCACACACACACATACACACAGATGACAATCCTGGATAAATCAGTGAATCGGGCGTAGTAAAAGCGGCCTGATATTAATGTGTCGTAGCTCGTTTATATGTATTCTACAGCCTTTGACTGCCTTATTATGACTTACGCCGAAACAAAGTATGAATGTTTCACGAGCTACCTGGAGACGTCCCCGGAGGCAATACAAAGCCGATGGCGATTTATACGCAAAATAGCCGATATTCCAGGACTTACCACGTGGATCAATTAGTGGCAATCTCGCCGACACTGTACGCGCTCTGAACGAAACCCGACAAACGGTGAGGCCATCTATTTTGCCAGAAAATATTAATAATTGAATGGGTCCCACGTGTTTGACAAGAAGTCGAAAACAAAAGAAAAAAAAGGGTTACTGTTTTTTTTTTTTATTAGTTTATTCGTTAAAGCACAAAAGAACCGGCAATTCAGCTGCTGCATCGGTGTATTATAGCTGCCTCAGTCACCACATTGCCTTTGAGCCACCTCAGTGATACGACATCTACATGTGATAATTGGGGGGGGGGGGGGGGGGGGGGGGGGGCAGTCAATGCTATGCGAGGCACACGAACAATTGACAGAAATGAAAAGCGCAAGGTCGAGCCGCACTCTACTCGCTAGATCGAAGCATGTCGTGGATTGGAGCAGCCGAAGATAACGCACGCACAAAAAGACGCCATGACGTTGCACACTCGATGCTGCCTCATTGAGATAAGTCTAGCCAATAGCGAAGCCTAGAATTATATTACTCGAACGACCAATCGACAACTCCGGGTTCGAATGACAAAATGGCGGCCAGTCATCTTGATCATTGAAAGGTGATTGGCGGGGGAAAAATTCCTGGTCCAATCAAATGCGAAGCATGAGTATGCGTAGCCAATGGGCAGTGCGGGAAAGTGCAGTGGATATTTTATGGGGATAATGGTATATTTCTGCAAATTAAATAGTGACAGTAAAGTTATATAGCTCGAGATATCTGTCCGACAGCTGCTGCCTATAACCGCGTGCTTAAAAGCACACCAGTATGTCCATTTATATCGCGCAAACGTGTAGACTCTGCTTACATGTTAATAAAAATCTATTTTCGAATGAAGAAAAGAAAAGTTACTGCGCTTTCGAGATAATCGCGGCAAGTCGCGTCCGCTTGAATATCGAAGGAAGGCACGAAGCGCTAGTGCGCAGTTTGTTCGATAGTTTGCCAAGAACTGGGCGTTAAAGGACCACAGAATAAAAATATCAATATATACTTCGAAAAAAAAAAATCAAGTTATGTTTAAAGTAAAAACGAGGATGGAAGAAAGGCTGAAGCCTCCCAGACGTGTTCCCTGCCGCGAAAGAATGCAGACGCGTGGGTGATCCGCATCTGTTCCCGGCTGCGCACCCATCCTGCCAGATGCTCGCTGGCAGCTGAGCTCACGGCCAAAGGAGAGACACCTACACGACAGCCGACGAGTCAGAACGCGGACAAGGACACCTAGAAAATAGGAACGCCTCTAAAGGGCATCGGGTCGAATGCCCCAAATGTCTGGCGGCAGGACGTCCCAAGGATGAGTTTCCCGGGCCGCGAGACGGGATGAGAGGCCGACATCCTCAAGCGATGACAATCAAGACCGGGCGCACGGCTTCCCGTCCCTAGCTGGAAAGGCGACAGAAAAGTGCGGCGTGCACTCACCGGTTTCGTTGGTCCTGTATCCTCTGCCGAACAGCTTGGACACCACTCCACCCATGACGAAGGCTCACTGGCTGCGCGACAGGGCCAACTGTCGGGCGCTGGATGCTCGGCGCGTCGGCGCAACAGGGGCGACGGCGGCGACGCCTGAGGAGGAGCCGAGGCGCGGGACCTACTGCTCATCGCTCGTTCGCCGAGCCAGACGAGCGCCAACGCCCTCTGGCAAACAAAAACGCACCGCGCCAATTCCAAAAAGTTTTTTTTTTTTTTTTTTTTTTCGTTTTCTCGCGTTGATTGTCGTTTTTCTCGCCACCTTCGCGCTCGCAACGGCGCCCCACTTTGCACACCTTCCAATGGGCGACGTTTTGCGGCGGGACGCTGGCACGGTTTTTTGACGCGGGCCAAATGACCGGCGATTTGGAAAATAAAGGGCACTCGGTAGGCCATGGTCGAGATCCGCCGAATCCGCGTGGATGGCCCATGGGCTGTCGCCGTGCCACGATGGAACGAGCCGGACGTCCTTGGTACTGGGAAGCCGATTCACACTGACAGCATGGCCAGGTTCAATGAGATTCAATGTGAGCATCTTAAAGTACCAATGTGCTTCGTTTGCTCATTGATGCTCTTTCGAACACCGCAGAGAAGCTGTAATTTGGGAAAAGGGGCAAACCCGTGAGTAAGGTGAAGCCAACTTTGGGGACAGAACCTTATGAGCACCAATGTGCACGATGGTACACAAGAGCACCAATCTGCACATTGCTCATTGGTGCCCTTAGAAACATTGCAGCGGAGAAGCTGAAATAGCGGGACGCAGTTTTTAATGTAGACTTCGAAATTACGGCACTGTACAAAAAATATGAAAATTGAGTGGACATCCTGGAGACTTGGGGTAGCTAGATCACGTTTAGCTGAGAGGACATTACTCAGAAATGCGATTTGAATCGTTGGAGAAAAGCACATGTTTGTAAAGCTTGGTAATGAACTAAGTGCTGTAGATGACCAGTTTTAAATGGGAAAGAATTTGCATTACCGAGGTTTGAAAAACCATGGGGTGATGCGGAGCATCGCGGATCGTTATTAACGGTGTTATTAACGGTGTTAGTAACGTTGTTGAACTTCACGGTCCCGAACCTCAGGTTCTGCTGCTCGACGTTCACGAACCAACGCGCCGTTCTCGAAGGTCGGGTTCCGCCGCTCGCTTCGTACGTTTACGTTGAACTTCACGGTCCCGAACCTCAGGTTCTGCTGCTCGACGTTCTCGAACCGCCGCTGCTTCACGTTGTCGTAGTTCACCATCCGCCGCTCGACGTTCACGAATGGACGCCGCTTCTCGTTGCCGTAGCCCGTAGTTCAGGGTCTGCCGCTCGCTTCAAGCGTTTGCGCTCAGCGTCGCGTGCCCTTCGCTGCGCGCGCTACCGCTTGAATGAGAGGAGACTAGAGGAGAAGAGTTGCGCATGCGCGCGCGGTGTGAGTAGAAGCGAACCTAACGCGCAGCTGTTGGAGAGAGGGAAAGAGGAGAGTTGCGCATGCGTAGTGTGAGTGCGGACTACGACGCCGCGGGACATAGACCCGAGCAAGAGATGCTCCGCATCTAAAATATTTCAATTTATTCTGGAGGTGCGATGTACGTAAGTACCTATTCTAAGCTCGTGCTGGCTATTTCCTGGGCCATGTTAGGATGGGTAATGCGGTACTTCGAGTATGCGGGGTGAAGAGCAACCTACAGCAATAAAGAAAATGACCCTCCTTTGCATTCTACATGTATTCATATTTATTGCCCTTCAAATATCAAGCAGAAAAACCCCATCCCTGTAACCTCATATATTAGGTGTCTGGGAAAGACGTTTGCGCTCAGTGGGCTGCTCTTGCTAGTGTGTTCTTCTCGTCCGTACTCATTGATTGTTGCTCAAGATAAATATATAGCTGCTCATTCATGCACACTCAATTCTGGATCAAAATCCACCTGTCTTGTCTCACTTTCTACATTCACATTGTGGATTTCCAGTGAAATTTGACATTGAAACTTTCTTCCACTACTAGCATCTGCACAATAGTTTATGAATCAAAATAAATAAGATTTCAGCTCTTTTTCTTCTTTTCCAGCAGGGCGCCTACTATTGTCCTTTCTTTGTTATCTAGTCCCTGAAGGAAGCTTTAGCCAAAAGGTACAAGTTGCCGATTTTTGTTTTTCTCATGGCTGAAATGCTGTAATATAAACTATTGTGCGGTAGAATCTCCTTATTCTGCGCACCAACTTAGCCCATAAAATTTTGTGGTGCTCATGCTCTGCCTGAGCGGAAAGCGAAAAAGCGCCACTATTGCATACAAGCTGTGTGCCATTTTTCCGACACCTCGAAATTTACAGAAATGGGAATTTACATTCTGGATTCCTGACGAAAAACTTCGCTCCCCCTAAAGAAATAGCTCAGGTTCCTTGACAAGAATGCATACAACTCGTACGAAGAATAGAATGTATGTTTATTTACAATGACATACAAGAGTTTGTTGTGACCTAACAGTGTCATTGAAGAGCAGAAGGCACTGTGGCATATGAGAATAACAGTTTGTCACCTATTTAGATGTCAACAACACTTTGACTTATACAGCCATGTACAAAAATCATATGGTAAGGCACATTCTTTTTCGTCTTCCGAAGCCATTCAATGTGCAGGTCATTGAAGTGGTTTGCTTCTTAGCATGTACAAAAATAAAATAGTGTGGAGAGAAACATGTCATCCTAAGTAGTAACCGTTGAAGCATCTTGATGTTCACCATTATACAACTGGCACTTTAGTAGTATGAAAATGTTAAAAATGCAGTCAGCTCGTTGCACTGGTAGGCTACACCTAAGACGCTATTGCATGCAATTTTTACCTGCATGCTATTTGCTGTTTCAAACTTTAGCTCACAAGCTCTTACTGCAGGTGGCTGGACTCACTCCATTTAATCTGTGCAGTTTTATTAAAACTGAGGAGACTACAAGCCAGACAGATTGCGTCGTCCCTAAACTTATATGCCCAGGGCTTTCTAGACACCAGTACACCATTATTCTGATGTATAAAGCTGATTTGAACGCTCTATAGAAATCCATAAACATTCCTGAAGTTAAGACAAACATTGGCAGCTTTGCCTGTCTTAACATACATGAATTATACAAATCCTAGTCACTAATCATGTACGAGGGCAAGTCTAGGCAAGTAGAATCCTTACGATATTGCAATAGGATGCGAGGTTGGCAAGATATCAGTTGCACTTCGTCGATCCGCTATTTTGGGCAGTTCATTCTTTGTAAACTGCTGCGTTACAAAAAAGATTGCGCATGGCATTTGCACAAAACAACTTTATATTTTGGGACCGTTAGTCGGGCCCAGTGTACTGTGCAGGTGATGTTACTCTGAACATACCTCTAGTTCTGAGATCTCTACTTTACGGCTTTGCTGCAGTCATGTGCAACATACCAAATGAAAACAACATCAAGAAAATCAGCCTACTACAACATGGTATGGTAAGTTTAAGAAATGCTCAATATTTATATTGCCTTATGAAAACTAATGAATTATTCACACTGAGTTTGGAAAACAACACTGGGCTAATCATTAAAATGTGAATACTATGGCCATCTGCTTTACTTTTTCTAATATAGTGGACTCATTTGATTTAAGAGATGAGCATTTTCCATTTTGATGCTTACATTTTAGCATTTCTAAACACTACAAAAAAAAGTTCTTTTTTTCTTAAATGTTATGTTTTGAGTAGAAGTCAGCTTATAGCTAGAAATCTGCATAAGAATGTGGGGTTTGAACCATTTTGCTTTCACGCTTCATTCTTGCTCCCAGGTATATTCCTACCACTTGAAGTAGCAAGAGAGCTAGCTGGTCACTCCATTAAGAAGCCACTGATATTAATAAACACAAAAACACATAAAAAAAATTTGCCTGTACAAAGTGTGACCTCACTTTGTTATTTACAAAATGAAAATATGAGCATTAAAAATCTCATTACACGTACCAAAAAAGTTAAAAAATGGATAACAACCTTTACACAATGCACAAGGAAGTTAAAACCGATTGAATGGATGAACACAGAAAAAGAGCCAGCCATTGGACATAACAAATGTTACAAAGTGTGATGAACATAGCAGTGCAATCAGCATATCACCTAGACTGCTAAAATGAGCACTTGTTGCTGACATAGCATTGACTCAGCACAACTGTCGGAGTTTTACCTCGAGCTAACGAAACTGCCGTTAATAAAATTTCTGTCCTAATTCAACGGAAATTTTGTCAGCACCAATGTCCCGACAAGTTACCTCATTCTCTTTTCCACCCTTAACCTTAAAGGAGACTGAAAAAAAAGGAGCTTGCATTACAACATTGATAATAACCTTGAACTGTAACTATGAAGATGTAGAAGAAGTAAATATGAGCAACACAGGCAACTCCAATTGCTGGCAACCACTGAGCCCTCTGAATTCCTTACGCTAAATGGGAGATGTGAATGAGCGTATGAGAACACTGAATAAAGTTTGGCCCCCGGAAACATACAACTGTATGACTCGTGTTCTTTACGCGCCTCCAATTTAAAAACGGGATAAGAGAAAAAAAAACTAAAACATCAAACAGCATGTCAATACTATCATCCCGAACAAAGATACGCAACTTTGAGCAAAAACACAAGCATACACATGCATGCAAAACAAACTATGCCACATTCTCAACGCCCGGCAGATTGTGTGTCATTATCGGTTCCTCTGCCGATGAGGACTTTCTGCTCAAATCATGCCTAAAACAGCATGCGCATGGTTTCAACTTGAGGGAGGCCAGTCAACACATGATGTAAGGGCGACGAGACAGTCACGCGTGGTCGTCGCCAGTTTGCCAACGCAGGCTCCCTTGAAGATGAAGAACACAGGTGGTGGCACACTCTGTAAGCTCCTCCTTCCTCCTGCTGCCCTTGGTTTACCAAAGGCACACCAGCTTGTCACAGATGCAACAGTGCCGAACAAGTCCTTCCTTGCGCACAGTTTCTAAGCTCCAACAGGCTTTTTTGCCACGCACACACCTCATGCACATCTTGAGAGCTTCTGAGCGTCCATCCACAGACTCTGCTGTCTTTCAAAGGGGGTTCCCCGCTTCCGCAACACCTCTCTCACACGATGATCTCTCGCACGATGCGGCGATTCCGAGAGTTCGGTGTGGAGTAGCCGGATTCGAGGCTTTCGTCGAAGGACAGCGAGATCTGTTGATTCTTGTCCTCGTCGCCCATTGCAGCGTACGGATCTGGGAGGCCACTCACATCGTAATAGGGCGAGTCTGAAAGTCCAAGAAGAAGGATCCCGTTAGAAGATACTTAATCACGCCGGGGACGTGCAACTATAGGGACTTAAAATCCTAATACTGTCCGTGATTTTTATGCTTCGATGCAATGTTGGAAATGCATCCTTTTCCCAGTTGGAAACCTATTTTCCTTGAATTTGAATATATTATAAAGGAGTGCTCGTTTTCATTCTTTACACTCATGGAAAAGAGTGGCCTGAGGTTGCCAAAATTTTTCCAGTGCTACGTAGGAAACAACTCTGCAAATGGAGAATAAAAAAATGGCTAGTGATATTCTAAAAAAAAAAAAGGTTTATGTAAAAAAAAGACAGGTCCCAAATGTCACCTCATAATAATACCCTCAAAAGACTGTGCTCCATCTGCCATCTAGATGAGCTCCAAACGCACCAGAATCACCGTATTTACTCGAGTAAGAGATGTGCTGCTCACAAACAAAGCATGCACGTCCACTTTCCAATGGAGCATGCAGATAGACGATCATCTCAATCGATCCAATGAGCCCACTGAATTACAGGACCGAAAGAATGCCCTCATGCAAAAGTGCTCCTTGAGCAGACCGTATTTTTACCAAGAATCGTCTCCTTGACCCGATTACTTGCTAATATTTCTGCATAGAACACAATAATTGACTGTATGTGCACTTTGTGAGAAGGTAAGGCACATGGACACCTTGTTCACAAACATGTGCCTATTACTTAAGTAAAAACAGTATATCACATATTTGTTACCACCTCCCAGAAAAAAAAAAATTGAGTTTCAAAAGTTGTAGAGATTAACGGAACGCAAGGAAACAATTTCAAGCTTCGGCCGAGCAGAGAAAACAAGTCGTCTTTTTGTTACCCTTCCCACTTTTCGAGAAAAACGCAAGACCAGAAGCAACACAGACAGCCCAAGAGGCAGCTGTGAAGGGGACTCACGTAGGTGTTCCCTGTTCTTGAGGTTCATGACGTCCTCGTTGAGCCCCTGGTAGTCGTCCTGGTAGTAGTAGCCCGAGGGCAGCCGCGAGTCGTACGGCTGGTAGGAGGACTCGGGGGGCGGGGGAGCCTCCCCCTGGCCCGCCTTCACCCAGAGGTCCCCCGGCCCGTCGCTGCCGCCACCCCCGTGCATGCCGTCCAGCATGTCCGAGGAGCCGTACAGCATGCCTGCCCCAACAGACGGACATCTCAGGAACGCTCCAAAGATGCCATGCTCCTACTTTCTCGTCTTTGTCTTTTTTTGCACTATTCTACCGCAGAATACCGCGCATCCACCCAATCCACACTAAGTGCCCATTCCCGAATTTGTAAGATCTGAGAAAATATGCACGGTACATTTATATGTAAAATTAATGACCGGACAAGCGCCCATCCTCCATTTTTTCGTGATTATCTCTAAATTTCGAGAGGGTGCTTGCCCGGTATTTTACGGCATTGGAACCTCGTTGTGTGCCAACTAGCCCAGCGGAATACTTTACTATAAAAGTAACACTTATACCGCAGCACTTCCACAATAGACACTTAATATGACTTAATGTAAAAAAACAAGAACAAAGAGTTTCTGTGGGGGAGAGAAAATTGCTGCAATCAGGTACCAATTATGTGTCAATTATATGCTGAATGAGCTGCTCAATGGTTTGGTGAATACAACTGAGGCTGAATTAGTAGTCTTCTCATGGCTAAAATAAAAATTACTGGATAAAAATAAGAAGCAGCTCATGCATTTCTGCCAGGCCTTGCCCGGACGATAGAAGCACTCGACTCTCTTCACGAAATGTGACAAGAAGCGTGGGTGAGACAACGCACAATGTGAGAAATGGTGCCAGAACAGATATTGATCACTTTGTTCGGGAGTTGATTTTATTGTTTGCTTCGTAGTACCCACTTAGGACACGCAAACCCAAAGGTTCACAAAGTGCAGTCCTGAGAGTTTTAGTCAGAAACCGTGCTCCTTAACTATAAGCAATAAATTTCTATAGAAATATTCAATGCATTTGTTTCTCTAGAGGTAAAAGCTACCTCTGGATATTTTTGCTGGTTCAAAGCTGGACCAAGTACCTGAGTATGTGCAGGTACAGTGAAATCTCATTACAACGAATGCCACTTTAAAAATTTTTTCAGAATTACGAAAATTTTTGAAATCTTCTTCCAAATGCTTATACTAGCTATGTAGAAATATTTCACTACTGAGAATTTCAACATACCAAACATTTCATAATAATGTATGTCATTGATGTGGCTTCATATATGAGCAACACCTCACTATTATGAATTGATAGTGCAAAATTCGGCCACCTCGTGGCATGGGCGCCTCCAACTGACAACTATTATCATCATTAGCCACTGGGTATTCATCCATCCGGTTTAACTAGGCAGCGTATAGACGCTTTACACACGCGCCAGATTGAGCCGCCATAGCTGCCCCTCTCTTGTCTTACCGAGATGCCGAGCCACTGAAGCGGGCGTTGACGGGAATTCACAAGGGCCTATGCTGGGCACAAGAACACAGTAGCATCTAAAATTGCAATAACCTGTCCTACTGTGGTAATGATGAAGTGAAGCGAACGGAATAAGAGGGAACAAAAACTGAAGGTCAGTTATGGCGGCGCATGCACAGCTGCTGTAAAGCGTCTATACGCAGCTAGGGTTATTCTCAGATTGCTGCGTCTGTCGTATCACCGTGCTGCTGCTGTTTTCTTTTAGCATGTCACGAAGTGAACGCGCATTGAGTTTTGCGAGCGGCAAGAAGAAGCGAAAGCAATTTTTGCTACAAGATAAGGTTGACATTCTTCGCGAAGTAGACGGCAGCAAGAAACAAGTCTAGGTTTCCCCAAGAACGTGGCATCGCCCTGTCGACTGTCACAACGATACTGAAATATCACAAAAAGTTCATAGAATCGGATCATCAAAAGCATTGAATCGTTCATGCTGCAGCACTTTTCTTGCATCCGCGAAACGAAGATGACAAATTTCTTCAAATAAACATACAATGAGCATCTGCGAGCATTGCATTTTGTGTGGCTATCAGCATGGATACATTTGCTGATGTCCTCATCGCGAAGGCAGGTAGATCTGCCAGTTTTTCATTATTACCATATTTCAAAATAACGAATTACCAGTGGCAGTCCCGCGATATTCATTATACCAAGATTCCACTGTAGTCCTTCCTTCCCAAGGCACACCGTGCGGAGGCAATACACATGCCGTGTACTGAAAAGGCCTAACTCTATGACATTGGTGGCACCCCAATCCTGCAGCCCAACCCCTACATGAAAACGCGTGGCAGATGTCCCTCAAACAGCACTGCTCGAAATGGGTCTCACCGTTGGACATCATCTGGCTTCCATGGTGTCCGCTGACAGTGTGAGGGGAGCTTCCCATGCTCCCCATGCTGCCGGCATAGATGGCGTGCTTGTTCATGTCGTCTCCGTTGGCGTCCATTCCTTTTCCGACGTCGTCGTGGTAGTACGGTCCACTGATAACCTTGGGCCTCGCGCTGCACAATAACGAAAGGAATGTCTTAAGATTGGTAACAGCTCTGAGACTGTCACAGAGGCTATCGAGCATGCAAAACTCCCTTTACAAAAAGAGTAAAAATTACAAAGGATAGCAAGGAATGTTAAATTAACTGCAGGGTATTAGCAACTTGAACCTCGTGGTTTCTAAGCCTCATCTCTCCACATCGCGCCTGAGTCACCAGGCAACACCATTTCCAGAAAATCAAAACTCTGTTTAGGTATTTACTACTTGTCTCTTCCATGAGATGGCATCACCTTGTTTGGACCTGTGAATATTTTATACTGGCTTCAAACAAAGAGGCAATTCTGAACTATCCTGAAGCTTTTTAAAGGGAAGCTGAGTCCACTTCCAGCTGGATTATGAAACTGGTCCATGCTGGGGTTGTCAAAGATAAAATGAGACAGTCCAGTTGGAATCCAGCTGGACTGTCTCACTTCCAGCTTGGACCAGTTCCATAATCCAGCAAAAAGTGGGCTAATTTTTGCCTGGGGGTGTTGTATTTGAGTCAAAACACTTCAATCATCTTCATTTGGCCTCCAGAATCGCAAATATCGAGACTATTTTTCAGTTTGGTGCACGGCAGCTGCAGAAAATCCCTTTCAAAGTACCGCTGAAGCTTCTCCTTCCCGGAGCATTACGTCATAAAAGGAGTTCTCGGAATCTCCGCTCTCGCGCATCTTCAGCGACTATCAAAGCTATGCACGTGCAGTCTTGCTATTTTCAAAAAGGTAAAAAAAAGAAGTCATGAATGGTGTCAGTTCGGGGGAATATAGCTGACAAGCTTGCAATTGTATGTGCTGCTCACACGAGCGACACGCGCTTGGCGGCTCAAAAGATGCTAGTATGACGTCACAACAGGTTTTTTGTGTTTTCTCGCGTTTACATAGTTACATCTTCGAGGAAAACGAACATGATACACAGGTTCATAGGATAAAAATACTCTAGAATTCACCTCTAACTCCTTCTTTTCAAGAACTTTTCCAGCTTTTCTTTAACTGCTGCCCTGCTAAAACCATGTTCTTTGGAGCCCATATTGCAGTGTAAACCGTGCACTGTTCATGGTTGGTGCCAGAGCACTTCGTTAACTCCGATTCAAATATATTGGTTTCCTTCTTTGATTAACTCCACATTATTTGCAGAATGATCCTCTCTTTCTAGAAGTGCCACTCTGCTTTCAAAAGGCTATGGTAGTTCTGATTTTTGACAAGAACAGCACACTTACTTTTGCACTTCCGACTCATAGTCCTTCTTGATGACTGAAAGCAAAAGCGATGTCAAGCATTATCAAACTGTACCATACATTTAAGGCCCCAAAATTCCACACTCCCGTCTTCAAATTCACATGCAAATACTATTGGAATGATTACTAATCATATATGATTACAAATATAAGATAAGGAGCAGAAAAAACAAAAGCTTGTTTAGAGTTTTCATTATGTGTTTACCTTTCTTAGGATCGGTATTATTAAACCAACGATGCAGACTACAACATCATCAGTAACGTTCAAGAAAACTGTCAGTGGGTCGAGCCCTCACCCTTGCTGGCCTTCTTCTTCCAGCAGCAGCAGACAAAGATGAGCACCAGGAGGAAGAAGAGGCCTGCGGCCACAGCCACAATGATCACGACATTGACGGTCATCATCGACACAGGGGCACCCACGGGATGGGAGCTGCTCTCCGTCGTCAGCGCAAATTCTGGCAGGGCACGAGAGAACAAAAACAACTTTAAGTACTCCCCTACCTAGCATTCACAAGAGGCAGAGACTGCAGAAAACAACCAATGCAGTTTTACCTTCTTCTTCATTTTCATTCATCAGCACCACTCATTGTTTGGTTTAAAAAAAATGCAAGAAAAAGTAAGGCAGCAGAGAGAGAAATTTAGTACATCTACAAAAAAATAAAGCGAGGCAAGGTAAAACTGTCTTTCAAATGACACCACCAAAAGCATGTCAACAAATTATTATTATTATTTTTGAATTTGTCACCTTGAGAGTTATTTAATTTAAACATGCATGTGCACTTCATGAGGAACTGCTTGATCTAAGCTTTTTTTTTTTTTTTTTTTTTTTTCAAATGTAATGCTTGTGCTTACTGATGTGGCATGCTTGCAGGTCTTATACTGATCACTCTCAAGTCACTAATCCTGAGAAGGGTCTATTCATTATCAGAGTGTTCTGAGCCATCAAAGCTGTGAAGATTATAAGACAAGGTATAATAATACTATCGACAATCACAATCCCACTCCTCTAACTTCAGTGCAGCAACTCCACACGACAGAGAGCAATACCAGCAGAGAGTGCTGCTTCTAGTATTCGGTGATGGAAGGGGCACACAGTCAAGTGATATGTTCACAGTGGTGGATTTGCTGGGATGGCTTGTAGCATCCACTGCGGTCCCTTGCGAAGTTAAAAGGTTATACAGCAAGCAAGTGTTTGAAAAGGCTTCTTTGGTACATCGAAACACGAAGAGGGGCACGCCAATCAAAGAGCAATATAGAGAATGCGCAGGAAACGTGGTATGACGAGGCAGACAAGCGTGCGCCATTACTGGTTGAGGTCAGGGGGAAAACCAAAGCATGTGGGCTTGTCAGTAGGCCAAAAAAATGCACGGGGTGCACAAAGAGCAAAAGAACTTGCGTGCCGTATAGCAGACTGGAATATCTCTTTCTGTTCCCCGGGAGAGATCTACAGGAGCACACATACACGCACATGCCCAGCGTTTTTTTTTTTTTAGGCACCAGCAGTGCTATCTGCGAGACTGATATGGCAAGCGGTGCCACCTATGACACTATCACAGTGATAACAGTCAAGGACAACGGAGGGTTCGGGCGGGGCGCTCACCATCGAAAGGTTCGGCGAGGCGTTCGTCCCCGCACCAGGAGACGTTGCTCTGGAGGCAGAGCAGGACGCGGACGTCGGCCAGGGCGGGCCCCGGCGAGGGCAGCTCCACAGACAGCTGGGGGCGGTCCACCTCAGTCTCCACCAGGGGCCGCCACTGTTCCTGGCCCCTGGGGCGTCCCTCCACCCGGGCCACCAGCTGCTCCGCACTCGAGTCCACCGTGAAGTACACCCGACTCGACTCCTGGTCGTACTGAGCCGACAGGGGCCGCGGCATGTCTGCACGCCCGGGGAAGGGAGTGGTGTCACGCTTCGAGGCCTACCAGGCTTACGACGGGAAAAATGCAACAGCGCGAGCACTTGGGTGCCTCGTTAATGACGCAGTGACTCGAATCAAAAGATTGCACCGTTAATTGTCGGTCGCATATTATGAATGTCGTGAGCTCCGGTCTGTTCGCACATGAGCCACAGTGCTACCTCAGTGCTATTAATCAGCGGTGACCTTGGTGATGCGGTGCTGACTTTGAGCTACATTAGTGATACAGCGCTGATACAGTGCGACGTAAGTGCTAAGCCACGTTCAAGCCAGCGCTCCATCAGCGCTGTTATTAGTGTTGATTTAGCGCTGCGATGTATGTGTGAACCAAGATTGCAATAGGCATTTGAATAAAATGCACACTACCCTGAAGTACCTACCATAGAGCCCCTTAATTGGGCAGAGAGGTCATATTCTCAACCATTAAAGTGTGCAAATTTTGAAGACTGGGTTTCGCCTCCTTATAAAATTAGTTGCGTGTCGTTAAAGCTTGCAAATTTTCCAATTCGCAAATATTAGGGGCTTGTGAACAAGAGCTTTACACTATCTAATGCACTGCCCTCCATGTTTCTCCCACTACTAAATCCTTGCACAGCCTGTGTCAATCTGAATGAGCATCACACCGACGTGCATTCATGTAATTACTGCGTGACAGACCCCAAGCAGTAGTACTGCACTGGCTAAATTTCCCATCTAAGGCGACGACATAACGGTTGTCTTAATATCCTCAAAAATATAAACTTTTCAGAAATGGTCCCTCCACTAACCCGGATGCAGCTTCGGTAGAATGAGTAAAACAAAGAAACCAATATTGATTTGTTCGGCCCAAATTAGAAACATTCGACCAAAGTGTGCTGCTGCTGAACATTTGCTAGAATATATCTGTTGCCACTTTTGCACTTTTGCAGTTCAGTTCCTGTATCTTTTTCAAGAATGTTTGAAAGTAGAATGCAACATGAATTGATACTAATAAGTATAATAACCTAAGTGCACACGTGAGTGGAAACATATTTTGTAAAGAATGGGTGTGCTTTCCATTTCCCAGGACAGTGGATAAAACATACTAGTCAAGATGCATACGAGTTAAGTCACCTTTCAAGTTCACTTTCGTCTGGACACCGATCTCTTCGGAGTACGAGCTGAAGCCCCGCGGGTTCACAGCAACAACCTTCATCACATATTCAGCTTTGGGTTCCAGGCCTGCAAGAAAGAAGATAGAGGGAACAAGGTGATTTACCAGGAAATATTTAAATGAACATAACGGGGCTGTGTCAACTTTCTACCAGCTTTCCTACCATTAGTGTGCGGGAATTGGGCAAAACCTTGGATGGCATTTTATTTACGCGCCCTCTTTTGGAAGGTCAAAGAGAGGTTCACTTCGAGTTTCTGCGGTCATTGACAGAATGAGAACGGCAGGGTGCGTCTTTCGAGCATCCGGCCTCCAGCAGATGCTCCGTGATCACCGTTTGGCCGTGCGCACTCCCTAGAGGTGCAGGAGACGAAGCGTCGTCCAACGTAAGAAGCTCACATGGGGGGGCGGGACCAACGACGCTCCTCCCTGCCCTTCTCACCTTGTCGGCGACTAGAAGGTTGACGCTCCTTGTCGGAGGTCACAAACTATCTGGATGGACCAGTGTTTTTATTCCCTCAGACGTCATTTCTAACGACGAACACGAAACTTTGCCTACCAGTGATGGGACAAGGGTTGTGGGTCCGGCAAGACTCGTTCTTGGTCTGTCCGGTAGCAACATTGGTGTAGGTGACCACAAATTCCGTATTGCCGAATCCCCCGTTGAATCCTTCGGTCCACTGCAGGGTCACCTTGTCCGAGTCGCTGCTGATGACGTGCAGACGGTCCGGAGGGTCGGGAGCACCTAAAAGGAACGAGCGCAGAAAGGAGGGCCACGACAGTCAATGCGTGGCCTGATAGAGAGGATCTTCAATAAAACAAAGGGCTTTCCCAGGTCAACACTGAGACAGAGACGAGAAACAATGTCCGATCTGCTCACCGACTCTGTTTCCGAATGCCGGTTATTCATCCTCGCCATAACAACCAGGCAACGAAGTTTGGTTAGAAGGAGTAGAGCTACATTACGCAGAATTTTTGCAACACCGAGACTGTTCGCGGGTGCAACAATCAGACCCGATTGCTAACTGGAACGTCTGAGTACCCTACCAAACTGCGACGCAGCGCTCATACCCACGAAGTGGCACGGCTCGCCCAAAGTTGTACGTCTTCACCACCACCCGCACTGACTAGGAGACGAACGAGGCGCCTCCTGTTCAACGCGTCTCAGACCGGTGTGTTTACTGCATCCAAAAAAGTGGTCCGTCGACTTCCGCCCGACAACATCCAACGCTCGGGATCTTGACATCCGACGGCGTAACACTCCCGTTTTTGCAACATTGTTTGTTGCTGCATCGGGTTTGCTTTTGATTCGTGGTGGGAAGAATGGGACGTTAAACGCACCACTTGGAGATGCGTTCCAGGCACCATGCTGAAACCAGAGACAAACAAACGTTCCGACCGACTGAAGCCAAGTCTTAAAGGACACATGCAAAGGAAAAAAACATTTTTTTTAGACAGCTTAGATGGAAAAAGGATGTCATAAAACGATTTTACAACGAAGAAAAAAAATTTTTAGAGCTATATTTACGGCGTTATTCGAATTTGTAGTTGGCGCTCGCGGGAGCCGCCGCTGGTCACGTGGTAGGCCCGCGCGCCGCCGCGCTGCGTCGCCGCCGCACGCTGAGCGTTCTGCGAACGCCGCTTCAACGCGTTTCTTTACGCCGCCGTCGCCGCCGCCGCACAAGTTCGTCTGCTTCGGGGCGCCGCCGCCGTCGTCTGGCCGGCGCACAGGTCTATCACGTCTGCTTGCGCTTATTCAGGAGTTTCCTTTGGTCTTTAAAACATACTTATTCATCTTAGTTTTTTGTTATACTTCAAACAAAGATGAATAAGTTACTTTTAGAGGCCATAGGAAGCTTCCGAAAGAACGCAAGCACCACGTGATAAATAAAGACCAGTCACGTGATAAATACAGACCACTTTTCCGCGGTGCCCGCGGGCGCCAACTACAAATTCGTTTTGCGCCGTAAATATAGCTCTAAAAAATTTTTTTCTTCGTTGTAAAATCGTTTTATGGCGTCCTTTTTCCATCTAAGCCATTTAAAAAAAATGTTTTTTTCTTTTGCATGTGTCCTTTAAGAGTGGTCGACTCACTCTTCTTGACGAGCTTGAGAATGGTGCGCTGGACGTCGCCCACTTGGTTCCAAGCGCGGCAGGTGTAGTCCCCGTAGTCGGCCTCCTTGACGTCGGCCACCGAGAGCACGCCGGCGTACAGGTCGTCCTTGAGGTCAGTCACGTTGGTGGCGTAGTTGGAGTAGCGTTCCAGGATGCGTCCCTGGAAGGCCCACTCGAAGGTCGGCTCGGGGTAGGCCTGCATCTGGCAGCGCAGGATCGCCGTGTCTCCCGGGTCGAAGGCCACCCTGTTGTATGTGTGCCGCACTTGCGGAGGATCTGCAAGGAATCGAACGGAGACTCAATCGAGGCACAGACCGTCCCAACGATCGCCATCCACCTGCCGCCATTCCCGCCTACTGCGGAACCAACACCACCTAGAGGACGCGCTCATTGCCTCTTGCAGGGATGGGAAGATAAAGATGGGTGGGGATAGGAATTAGGAGGTGATGATGGGGATGTAGCAGTACTATATAAAGGAGTTGATGATGTGGTGGGGGCGATAAGTCGTAAATACCGCCGACCCAAACCTCATCCTGAGCGCACGTTCCTCAGAAAGGGTCTTGACATTGTCACACAATACAAGGCCTGCACATAACATTGTCATTACTGGATCCCCGACCCACACCAAGCGGCAAACACGATGAAGCTCTACCAGAGTCGCTGCAAGGCAACAAACGCGTCTGTCTTGGTATCGCCACATTCTAGCATTGCACAAGGGATGATGCTTGGGGGGAAAGGCATGGCTCTTGCCTTCGAGGTGGCATGGATAGAACGCATTCTGAGCACACACAGTGGCTCTTTTCCATGGAATGTCGGACACCACGCACGCATCTACGGACCAGTGACTGAAAATGCACAATCGACGTGCATGCAATAAATGTGCCTTTTAAAAGTTGCGGCTGATACTTCTTAGTACCAAACCTCCATTCTTCGTCCCCTGCAAAAGCTTGTTTAGTTTCATTTCATAGTTTGTTAATTGCTCTCAAGCAGTCAGAAACCTATACAAAGGCGGCAGATAAACGAAAGATTTGACATAAAAATAAAACCTATAGTGCTGCCCAGGCCAAGGTTATTTAAAAATTCTCTTACTACACACGAGTATCATCCTCTAAATCGTGAATTCAAAAGCAAAAATTATGACCATGTACCAAGCTCATCGGGATATTGCAGTTTTGTATTATATGCTAGCTGCTGTTTTATTCCGAAAATTGCACAATAAGGTTCAACAAGTTCCTTTCCTTTTTTTCCTTTTCTCCAAGTGCCTAACACGTGCGATCCCCATTTTGCTTCGGAGGAATGTGTTTCTCCTAAGCCTGCAGCTGCTATGTGGCAAAACAAAAACCTGAAGACAGCGATGTTCCCTCTGCTGTGAGTATTGCTTCTCCCCCAGTATGTGGTAAGAAGCACACTGATAAAGCTAATTAGGTAGACCATCTGAACGGACCGCGAACAATAATAAATATAGCTCAACTTCCAAGAACTGTCGGTGTTCGACACAGTGATCAAATACACCGTAAGTTACCTACTCAAAGCCATAACCAAAGTTCTGAACATTCGAACAAGACTGCTGTAAAGAGCTAGCAGCGCAGAGGGGCCTGGGATATCGGTTTCAGTATTAAACGAGTGAAATTAATGTTTGGTGAAATGTTGGCACAAATTCCTCAGACACTGGTGAAATGTAGCAGGGTTTGGCAAGGGAAAGCGCGTCGGTGCAGTTAGACAAAAACGATGCAGTAATTGCATTGCTCGATTCTTCTCATACAGCCTCGCTTGAAACTGTGGGAGAAGCCGGCACACGCATCTCTCAAACCCTCAGACTAGCCGAAAGTCCCAACAGATGCGAAAAGAACTCCACTACAAGTGCCCCGACCGGATGAAAACGGCGGAGCGTCTCTTTTGGATGCCCAGGCCTCCGGCATATTGCCTTTTGTGATGCTCTGTCCACACGAGCATGCTTGAAGCTCCCCAGACGCCAAAGCGCTATCAAAAGTAGGAGGCTCGCTCCGGAGGTAGGACAACAACTGAAACTCCTCCGTGCCGTGCGACTACTATAACGCGTTTCTCCAGATAAGCCGGACAACAAATCTTAGAGCTCACGTTCGATCCTGAGGAGCATCTCCGAGTCGACGGCCCCGCCGAATCCGTTGTCGAAGTGGCACGCATATTTTCCCCGGTCTTCGGGGGTGAGGGGCCGCTGGAAGGTCAGGGTGCTCTGGACGGAGAAGACGTCGTTGTCCTCGAGGTTCTCCACGGTCTTGATATCGAACCGAGACTCAAGCCCCGGCTGAAGCGGCTTGTCTCGGTGGGTCCAGTGCACCTGCGGCTTGGGCTTGCCCCGGGCACGGCAGCTGACCGACTGGCTCGTGTCGCCCGTCTTGCGGATGATCTGGGGCCGCAGGGGTACCACGATGGTGGCGGCCTCTGTGGACAGACCGGCCATCAGCTCGTGTCGACGCGGTTATTTGCTTCTAGAGCTCTTAATATAGTGGTTCAGCCTCGAGGGGGTCTTAAAAACGATGAGCGTACAATTATATTCTCACCATACGGCAAATGACGACATCTCTAAGCTGTGGTTATCTTCTCAAACTCCCGCGAGGCTTAGACTCTTAACCAGTAATGAGCTTACAATTAATCTTATTCAAGTACGTCCGACTCTAGTCGAAATATGTGAAATCCAGGAAATGAAAATTAGGGAAACTAAATTGTAGGTGCCTGTTTGATGCAGGGCCTTCTGCTCATTCATACTAGCGATTGATGCAGGGCCTTCTCCTCATTCATACTAGCGAAGACAGAAACATAATTCTATATTAGCAAACAATAAAGCGTCAGAGAAACAAAACATGAAACAAAAAGAGGCCAGTAAGAAAGCGGACGTCAAGCGCCGGCTAACTGGTACCCACCGTTGACGGCGAGGTAGACAGAGGCAATGGATCCCTTGCCGAGGTTGTTGTGTGGCTGGCAGAAGTAGCGCCCCTCGTGGCTGCTGTGTACCGACAGGAAGCTCTGGTTGGCCCTGTGTCCCAGGTCAATGTGCTCTTGCCCCTCCCGCCACCAGCGGTACTCGGGCCGGGGCCAGCCGGGGGGACGCGCCGAGCAAGACAGCGTGAACGGACGTCCGGACACTGCCGTCGGACCTTGTGGCAAGATCTCAGCCTCCCCGGGCTTGTCTGTGGGGCGAGAAAGAAGGGCTCATCTCGAAACACATCCTTGACTAAATTCGACTCGCACCCTAACACACGAAGACATCCAGGGGACCGACAGAGTGAATGACATATCTGGGCGAGGAGCTTACATCTGCTTCAAGAAGTAGAGCCTAGATTAAGGAGAGGGAGCAACTCCAACCATGGAGAGCATTTGCTACTTAATAGCAGATGCTTCCTGGACAGAGTGGTCACAAGTGAGCATGCATTGTGTCGTCGCATGACGAGGAAGAATGCAAGCGGAGAGGCGGAGAAGCTTGCAGCCGATCGACGCTTTCTCCTCCTCCTCACAGCTCGTATTGCAAATCCACCCCATAAACCACGTGGTCCCGATCAAGCGGTTGGAAACACACTGAAATCTGGGTGCACTATCAAGAAAAGATGGAGCAATAAAAAACGCATGAAACGCTTTGTTAAGGTGAAACTCGGCATAGCAAACAGGAGATGATATGACCAATGAGGCACCGATTATACTGATACTTATTTTTCAGCATCATTTCAATCATCAAATCTCGACTGTGGATTGGGGAGCTGAACTTGTACTATGCATGTTTTATGAATGGATTGTAGACTCGCACAAACTGTCATTGGCCAAACAAAACAACCGACAGATTGTGTCCATGAGTCACATAAGTGTAACCACCACACCATGGCCACATGAGTGTAAAACAGACAATACAACAGCATTTCTTTTTTTTTTTGTTAAACTCCCATAGATTTCTTTTAGCTCGAGCGAAGCATTCTACCCCAACAAAATTCGGATGCCTTCTGGTAAGAAAAGCAATTTTGGCAAACACAAGATTGACACATACTTGTCTAGACGAGACTTACTATGTAGTCTGTTGCAGGTTAAAAAGATCAGGACAAGCACCTCCCACAAAGCTCTCTGCTTGCCCTGATTCGTGGTTTCCTCCTCTCCACTTGCATCCTCCTAAGCATTTGCTTTGCTAAAGTGGAAGAAGTGAAGGGCTTCGTAAGAAGCACCTGTCCTATGTTTTTAAATTGCAACGAACTACAGGAGTTTCTTTCGGGTACCCAACGCACGCGCTTCATGCTTTCCACCGTGCTTTGACCGTGCACTCATGCGCACTTGAGGTGCACAAGACGCCAAAGCGTTGTCCGAGGTAGGAAGCTCGGATTGGTGGCGAGGCAGCTGAAGCTCCTCCCTGCCGTTCTCACCTCGTTGGCGACCATAAGGTGACACGTTTCGCGGGAGCGGCTGCAGACGCTCGTGAGGCACAAAGTGCACCAAGCCACTCACGTCGGACGTGGAGCACCACCGAGTCGTTGCCGACCACCTCGGTGTGGATGGCGGTGGCCGAGGGCCTCATGACGACGGTCGCCCTGCAGACGTAGGTGCCGGCGTCCTCGGCGGTGACCCGGTCCACGCGCAGGGTGTCTCCCTTGAGGGAGAACTCCGCGTCCCCTTCCTTGGTCCACACCACCGACTGGGGCTCCGGGTTGGAGGCCACGTTGCACTTGACAACCACATTCTCCCCCAAGGAGGACTCCTGCTCAGGCAGCACGTTCACCCGGGGGCCGTCTGGAAAGGGGAGCACGGGGAGACTCAACCGTGGAAATTTGGCAGAGGGGAGTGCACGTCATGCGGCGTTTTGGCATGCAAGGTTGAATGAAGCTGACGGGCAATGCAGGAACATACAGAACTGGGACTCTAAGTTGGACGCTCAGCAAGATAATTGAAAGGATCACCGACCGTCGCAATTTGCCGGCACCTAGCTTGACCTTGGCGCTCGCCAATTGCAGTACGGCACTGGCCAACTGCGGCAGTCGTTGATCTCGCTGACCTTCTTTCTCGTTAAGTGTCTGACTATAGCCCAGGGGTGGCCGGGCAGACCCGGCCTAAGAGCCGCAAACAAAACCACGAAACTTCAAAGAGCCGCGGGGGGGGGGGTTAATTTGTTCAGAGCAACAAACGAAACTCAAACTACATTTATCCAATCTGACTCAAAAGCAGTCCTACTGTACGTAAGGTAGCAATAGCAAAAGACTACCGAACCGCACCCTGACCTTCGATTAAAAACGCCTTCCATTCTTTTTTGGGGAAGTCCTCGTATGACCCCAGAATGGAGGTGTTGGAGGGGGGGGGGGGGGTAAGTAGGAGAGGGATTCGCGAGCCGCACTTTAACACGCAAAGAGCCGCATGCGGCTCGCGAGCCGCAGCTTGGCCACCCCTGCTATAGCCACTGCCGGAGAGGTGCGAGACCGAGATTGGTCTAGTAAAATATAAGGTCTTTGTTTCAGCCGACTTGGACAAGGTAGCGTGGCTGTTAATCTGAAGACATAGCATGCTTTGCATCGTCATGGCCAACTGAAAATACCTTATTCTGGAAGTGGCCTTCACGAGAAATTTTATGTGTTAAGTCAGCACAAGCTTGCTTTCATTATTGTCTTCAACTACCCTATTATTTTCCCTGGTAAATAACGTGAGGATTAAAAGATGAAGCACCATATTTACTAGTAGACAAATACAAACAAAGCCCACAAACCCACTAAGTGGCACAATGAGAGCCAGTTATCATAATTTAAGCAAAGAGATCAGCGAGTAGGAAACGACTTTACTGAATTAGTGGACGGGACATTAACGAGATCAGCATCCCAGAAACAGATGCGTGTGCATCTCCGCACCCATATACGTAAGAATGCAGGCACACGCACAAGTCCATACTGACACATATGTGCAGGTACTACCACATACAACATGAGCTCCGACAGACCCTTCATCCTTTTAAGACGTTCCTCCCGGTTTATCAAAAAAAGCTTTGGTCCAAACTGTTTGATGGAACATGAAGCTTAGCTCCCGTGCCTCTAACAATACAACAAATTGGGAGAGATAATAAAAAATCCTGGAGATTGCAGAGGAAAAAAAAAAACAAAGGTCGGAATGGGTGTTGCAGCTCGTATTGTGTGCGGGTGTACATGCAGTCGTACACATGTATGTGCCATATGTACGCATTCCACAGAAACGACAAGAGTCCCCGAAGGACCGCCTTCCACCATTCCGACTACTCACAGAGGACGCTGAGACGAAGGTCGGCTTGCGTGGGCTGCTGAATGCCGTTGTCAGCGATGCAGGCGTAGTCCCCGCTGTCCTCAGGTGTCACAGATGGGATGGTGTGGTTGTGAGTGTTGGAGAGCAGCTGGCCCCGCTTCATCCAGCGCACCGAGCGCACGGGCGGGTTGGCAGACACCGAGCAAGTCAGGGTGGCGTCCCCTCCCACCATAACGTTCAGCGGGTTGTGGGGCCCCACCGTCACCTTGGGGGCATCTGCGAGGGACGAAAAGTCGCGTCACTCTGTTGGTTGCGATGGGTAAGAATTGTTCTAAATAACATGGTGCAAATGCAACCGTGAACCTGAGTCCTAGGGAAATGATTGAAGGATCCTACTAAAATTTGCCTTTGGCTTAATTTTTTCAAAAAAATTTGCTTTGCGAAGAAAAAGATTCTTAAACTAATCTGAAATGAAAAGTTCCAAACTTCAAAATAGCCTAATTAACTACTTCAGCCTACATTTGGGCCTTGGTACTGTTACAGTGACATAGCTAGAGATTCGTAACAGGTACCTTATCAGGCAACTCATTGAGCTTTTGCATAATTAACATTTAAAAAAGTGCTCTCCCATGAAAAAGAAAAGTTGATTAGAAAATTTTTTTAGTGGACACTTCCAATACAGGGAAAAAGCATATGCCACAACCCCTTGCTACCGCACAAGAGTGTATTCTTGCACGTAGAGAGGCCTGGGATAAGCACTTATGCATGATAGTAACCAGCTTGAGAGAGCTCATTATTCCTAATTAAATCCTCATATGTTAACACCAGAACAGAAATTTGGCACCTTTGTAGTACTTTTTCATTCTTTCATTAACAAAGATACTGACTCTTTATAAAAATATTTTGATCACTCAAATATTCTTCTATAACATTCACAACTTGAACTATTGTGCACTAAAATACTGACTAATAATATGTTCCTTACACAATCCTATTAAATAGTGTCGTTAAATATTCGAATTTTTAAATAATAGTTCCGAATAAGACGCTATTCGATATTGGCTTCAAGGTGGACTGCAATATTCGTACTTCTCAAAGCTAATTGCGGCGGGTTAGTCCCATTGAGATCGCTTCTCCCCGAGCACCGTTGCACTGCGGGGAAGCAATACCCGTGCAGCTCGCGGGCATGGCTTCCCCGCAATGTACAGGTGCTCGGTGAAAAGCGCACTCAACGGGGCTAACCCGCCGCAATTATATTTTGACAGCTCGCATTCATCGGTTTTTCTTCTTTTTTTTTTTTAAGTCTGAATTAGGAGGAAGAATATTTCCATATAGCAATCATATTTCTAAATCCCCTCGATTGGGATAGCTTCGACGACAAATCTCTCGTTTACATGCCACAGTACATATAGTGCTGTGGCATGTAAGCGTATAGAGCGTGGCTTCTTTGGGGGCTCTAGGGTGCGTTATCCAAGCGTCCTCGACTCTCAGGCGAGGAACTGAACAGCGCTCCAACGAGCCCCACTCACAGTAGACCCTGAGGCTGGTCCGGGCCTCGTGTCCGGCTCCCTCGGGCATGGCCCTGTTCCAGACGTGGCAGCGGAAGTTTGCGCCGTCGTCCTGCCTGGCCGGCGTGAGCGTGAGCACGGCCGCCGTGGGCTTGTCCCTGCCGCCGCCCTTCTGGAGCGTGGAGTCGACCGGCACGTCGTCCCGGTACCACTGGATCTCCGGGTCCGGACTGCCGCCCTCGCTGGCGCACGTGAGCGCGAAGGCCTCGCCCTCGCGGGCCGTCGGACTGCTCGGGCTGATCCGGGGCTCGCCGGGGGGAACTGAGGGCACGGGCGCAGGAGAGAAAACAAGTTAGGTTACGGTGCGGTCGTCAGTGAAACGACGACGGGCGACGACGGCTCTGGTGTGACATAGCCAAATCTGGTTTAACCCGTTGAACTTAATCCAAGTTTCAGTTTCCTTACCCCATTATTTTTTTTTTTTTTTTAAGATTAGCAACCTATACTGAGTTGCAGGTTAAATAAAAAATCAATAAAAAAAAACGGGAAAGGTTTCTTCCGCAAAGCCCTCCACAGGCTCCACTCTTCGCACTTTGGCAGAGCGAACACCGGAGAGGAAGTAGCGAAGGAAACCAGCAATCATGGCGAGCAAAGAACTTCTGCGGGGGTTTGTCCCACTTTCCTCAATTTGAAACGGACTATCACCTAGCCTAAGCTAAAGAATTCCTTCCCTCCTCCATTCAACAATTAACCTAGTTGGCCACGCATTCCTCCTTGACGCCATATTCATAAGCGCAACGCTTACGGCCACTGTTTTCATACAGGCTCGGACACGAGCCAGCTGTGAGGAAGCAGGGGGCGCGACAGGGGCCAGACAATTTGCAAGCTCTCGGCAATTATCGTTTACATATAAAAACAATCGCATCATTAATGCGCACACACTGCGCTCCCTCGGCCAGAAGGTCAGTCTTAGCAAATCTCTCCATGCAAGGAACGCCAGTATCAAGGTCACAACGGCCGTTATTTTCCCATCCAGTGTCCCCTCCATAAATATTTCCACTAAAACTAAAGGAAGAAAAAGAAAGTAGCGGACAAGGGCTAACCTTTACTTGAAACGCTTTCCCAGTGCTAAGGACAGGCTCGCTGACAGGCTCGCTGACAAACTCGTATAGTTAAAACATATTAGCCGCACGTAACTAAGTTTTTTTTTTTTTTTTGCACTTATAAGAACAGTTTGGGCTCTATGGTACTGGGCATGACGCTTTACCATGCTCAGTGATACAGCACACTTTAGGTCTAAACATATTTTCAGCCTCGCCGTTGGCCGAGCTCGCTCCGCGGATAGCAGCGATTGGCTCTCCCGTGTGCTTTGCGGCAGAGCAGCCGATCCAGGTTTCTATGAGCCGTTATTCCCCAAAAGAAATACAAAACATACCCTCGAACATAATGAAAATAATCCCTGGAGAAGGGGAACAAGAGGGACAAAGGACATAACAACATACGAGACAAATAAAAAAAAAAAAAAAAAAACATTTCCGTGAACATTTTGACTAAATTGATGGAACTAATATATGTAAAAATTCATTAGCAGCTAGTGTCGTGAATCACAACTAGGATTTCGTGTTTTCGGAGTTTATTTTTCGCCAAATTCAAATGGTGTTTTTCGGAGTCTATTTTCTTCCGAAAATTCGGAGTTAATTTTTGTTAGATTCCCAAGTCTCCGAAATTTGGAGTTTAATTTCGCGGTATTTCCTAATAAAAATAAATAAATAATATACGGGTGTAAACGTACGTTCAAAAAAATAAATAAAATGCGCTTGTATCAATTAACAATTCTTCAGTTGGATTCGGCGTTGGCGCCCTTGCCATTTGCAATACTGATTTGTCTCACGACAACGTTGCACGTAAATGTTGCTTCGATAAAGATCGAAGCCTTAAAATCAACAGACTCCTGCTGAGGAGCTCATACTCATCCCAGCCTATTATCAACCTACCCCGAGGCCGCGCGAGGTGGAGTGGGTAAAGGATGCAACAGAGAAGAACTGCCCCTCATCCCTATTTTATGCAATCTCTATGGTTTATATATTTCCCTGTTACAAAAACACCCTTCCTCTAAAGCACGAAATGCATTCCTCAAACTGAAAAAAAAAAAAAAAAAGTGGCATTTGTTAAGACCCGAAAGTACAATGACCTGTTGTCCTGAATGAATCTTGACAATATAGGCGGTAAGACACCTTTTGACAATGGACCGAGAATTTAAGTTTTTTAGAAGCAGCTTCCAGTGGGACACTCTGTCGAACGCTTTGGCGATGTCAAGAAAAAATTACATCAACCTGTTTAGAGCGATTTAATATTTCAGCAAAATCATGGACGGTTTCGAGTAATTGCGTCGTGGTTAGAAAGCCATGACGAAAACCATGGTGATTCACGTTAAAGAAGTTGTGATTTTCTAAATACGCTGCCAAACGTTTAAAAACAACGTGCTCTAAGAGTTTGCACGTCAAACAGTTGCACGTCAAAAGATCCCCAGGTGGTGCAAATGAATCCTCAGTCCTCCGCTAAGACATGCCAGATGCCTTTAGTTCGCTGGGCAAGTAAAACTCCAAAGTTTGACTTTCGTGTTCACGAAATATGTTTAAAATTTATGAAGTGCGGACTATACAAGACGTGACAGATTTCGTGAATTACAGGTTATTTTCCATATGATACAAAATTCGCTTTTACCGACATACACCGAATACGGAACGATAGCCGGGAAAATGCGATGTTGCCCAGCGAAGTGGGAAGTCGAGGTGTCCAGCCATCACTCACTGAGCACGGTGACTTTGTAGGCGTAGGTGTGTACGTCGGCGCCACTGCCAACCTCCTTGAGCGTGCACTCGAAGGGCCCGTTGTCCTTCTCGTACTGGGCCCTGGAGATGATCAGGTCGTAGCGGCCCTCGTTGGGGAAGTAGTCCACGCTGTAGTGAGGGTCCAGAGGGCTGCCGCTGATGGCCGCGTTCTCCCGGCTGTCGCCGCTGGACCGGTACCAAAAGTACAGGATGTTGCGGCTCGCCAGCGCCGGGTTGAAGTGGCACGTGAGCCGCAGGCTCTCGCCCTCCACCACGTCGCGCGCCTCGTAGTGCAGTGCCTGCGCCCAGCTCGGCCTCGTCGTCAGCGTCACGGCCACTGCGGAGGAGAACCAACAGTCGTACGTTTTCATCGGCTGATATGTTTCGTCGCCAGAGACAAGCACTCAAGCACACGTGCTTTTCTGCTGAGGGTCGTATTAGGGAGCGTTTGTAGATTGTCCCCATGACTCCGATAACAAAACCCGATAACGGTGCGATGCATGTGAAAAGGCACCGGTGGAGTATCGAGTTATCAGAGTTATCGGAAAGATAAACCAAAACTCCCTATTCATCCGAGCAGCCAAGCACTTGAAAGGTACAACAATAGGGAATCTTCGTAGACCGTACGCAGGAGCTTTACGTTGCTTGCGGGAACTCGTGCCGTCCCTTTGAGTGCGGATTGAGCCCGCGTCCGCAGGGCCCGCGATCCTCATCTGTACCGGGAGCTTGCGCTGTCCTTTCCAAGCGTGGCTCTCCCGGAGCGACTATCGGGCACTCGAAAACAATCGGCTGAAACTACTTACGGGGCCTATGAACATGGTCTACATGTCAAGGCGAATATGCGATGGGGATATGTTAAGCATTAATCAAGGTCCCTGTGCTCAAGTTCGTTACGCATAAGTCTAGAATGGAGAGGAGGCTATGAGAGTCATAGGCGTAGACTTCGGGGGGCATCGGGGCTCGTGCCCCCCCCCCCCCCCCCCCCTGGTGAAATCCAAGGGGGGGAAGGCGGAGCCCCCCCCCCCCCCCCCTCCCCCCTCCGGGCCCGGGCTATGATCCTTACCGAGACGCTGTTTACGTGCCATGCAACGAGCTTCTATAGTAGTGGCATGTCAACAAAATAACGCCCACGTTGCCTTTATTGACAAGATACATGGGAAATGGAATCCTAGCGTGCTTTCTCCAGTTCTGACGAAAAGGTAACGCGCAGCCCCCTCACCCCCGCCCCCGGGAATATAGAAAGTCTACGCCGCTGATGAGAGCACAATCATCTCTAGACTTCCCTGGGGGACTGACGGGTAGAGTCCTTCACACATCGGGGCTAAATCAAAGGCGAATCCAGTACCGTGATATCGTCATCACTAATATCGGTCTAGCAAACCTGCTAGACCGATTTCAATGTTTTCGAAAGAAAACATTGAAATAACTGTTCATCCACAACGTTTTCTACAAATCAGGACCAGTTACAGCAGTCATCTTCAAATGAACGAAACAAGTACAACCAAGTATATGACTAATAACATATTGTTGTTATTATTTAGTAACCCACCAAAATGGTTACAAACGTGAGTGCCCAATACAACAAAGACTGACGCAGCCGCGTTTAACGAAGTTTTCAGCGTGCGGAGGGTGGCAATACATCATCAACAAAAGAATCAAGTACAATCGACACCAATTAATTTTCCTACGAAAGAGAAAAAAAGATAAAAAGCAACAAATTTATTTTTTGCCTCGCTAAAAAGAAGAAAACAAAAGAGAAGAAGAAGATTGTAGGATTTGGTTATACGTATTCGAAGGTTAAGAAGACAACTCGGCCAACCCGACCCGTCCGAGCGGAGGACCACACAAAGGCTCTCATGAACGTCCTACGATCCGATCGCTGCTACGCAGAAGAGCAAAGTGACTTTGATGACGGCTATATAAAAGCGTTGGCCGGTGAAAGTCTACGTCGAACACTCGACGCTCATCCACTCGATGGGAGCGACCCACGCTCGGAACAGCCGAAGACGACATAGGCAGTAGAGGACAGAAAGCGGACTCGCCAAAACACTCGAAGCAGAGGAGGACGCCATCCAGGCGAGCAGGACCATCTTCTCCGAACCCCCAAAATGAGGGCCTACCCGCGAGAGGGGCAAAAATAATAAGCGGCCCCAGAGGGAGAAATGAACCCGCGTTCCATCCAAGCCGAGCAACTCTCCCAACAAATAAGAAGCAACGCGGAGAGGGAGCATGGCCCAAGGCCCCATTTGCCGGGCTTCCTGCGCGTCTGCCCCGCTCCGAAGAGAGAGTCCCCACCCACCTCCGGGGGGGACTAATGACAATGGGGGCTTTTCGGGGGCAGAAAGAGAGGAAGAGGGGGAGACGGCCCCTGGAACTAGGGCTAGCTACCTGGAAGAGGCGGAGGCGAAATGTCCCGTCACAGGTGGTGGAACGTCTCAATCAGGGGGGCCCTGTCGTCGAGGGCAGAGCCCCGTCGAGCGGGGCAAGGCCCCTCTCCGAGCTGGCCCATTTCGGAACACTCCCAGCCCGAGGCGCATGGGTTTGCCGTGGCTCTCTCCTTCGGTTTGGGCTTGGCAATCAAATGGGATCGACAATTCCATTACGTAGGGTATCGGCCCCAGAGCGGCGGCCGTTCTCTCGTCTGTGTCGGTTTGTTTCCGAGTGAAAGACAACCTTCGTTGCAGTCCGTGCCGCAGAACAGGCATAAACGATTGGATCGAAAATGGCAGAGGAGCCAAAGTACGAGCACAATCCTTCAAATACTCTGGTACGAGCTAGCGCCAAGAGGCGCCGAAGTGCGGTCACTTTGCCATGGAGCGAGAAAATAGCCGAGACGCCATAGCTTCATTTACTGAAAAGCGCATGTGCACGGTACCGAGGAACCCAAATTTACGTGAGCTAACGACGCGCAAGAATTCCACTAATTGGTTTTACACAAAACACCTCGTCCTCCTCTATCAAGTCTTCTTCTTTTGTTTTGTTGTTGCTCCCGAAAGCTTCTGGCAGCCTTCACTTTAAGTGTGAGCATAGCAGAAGCTACAAGCGCGAGCTTCGGGCTTTTATACTTCGTTTCAGCTTCGATCCAGACGCAGCCAAACCTACAAGCGCGAGCTTCGGGCTTTTAGCGTCCCTGATAAAGGGGTATTCACACGAGGGAGAAATCCCGGGGATTTCTCCCCGGCACGCGCGCATCACGAGATGAAAACGCGAGGCTTTTGCACATCGCAAAGCCTGACGTTTTCGTCGTGGCATGCGCGTGCCGGGGAGAAATCCCCGGGATTTCTCCCTCGTGTGAATACCCCAGTGTTCTGGGCCACAGGACTGGATACGCGCGAATCCAGTCAGGCTGTGGCCTTGCCACGGTCAGAAAATCTGATGATTCTGCAAGGCAGAAGATCCTCCTCGCCATGGGGGAGGAGGAAACGGGCAAAGGTGGACAGGGTAGAAGGGGGGCGAGGAGGAAGAGGGGGGAAGTGGAAAGCGCAAACTGGTCGTCGGTTTTTAAATGCAATTTCGCACTAAAAAAATGTAACAAAATTTAATCAATCAAACCACATAAAAAAAACAAAAAAACTTAGTGTTCTGTAATGCCGTTTTACACCACGCTCCCTAAATCAATTGTCGTCGATCTTCATCACTGCATCGCCGGGGTCGGCCTCGGCACGTATATTACATAAACGGGCCGGCATAGCTTCGACGCTCCAGCTCAATCTCGCTCGCGGGTTACACTTTAATCTCGTGTCAAAGCGGAAACAACCCTCCCGGGTCCTCGCCTTCCCGCTGGACGGAGTCTCTTTCGGGTCGCGTCGAGGAGAAACGACTCGTCCGAGAACACGCTTCCGCGTCCCTTGCTGTGGCACGTCGCTCCGTAGCCGTCACTCGCGAAGTCGGTGTACTCATTCCTCCAATATTCGAGACAGAACTTACCAACTAATATGAAACGTTTCTGTTTCACATGAATCGGGCATTGCTGTATCCAATAACAACCCCCCCCCCCTTTTTTTTTATTGTTTCTTTTTTTAGAAAACACTAAAGAAGCAAACATGCTGGAGGCAAACACGACTGTGACCTCGTCCTGGATGTTTACATATTTCTCTTCGTGTTTGCAGGCTCGTGCAGTTCCAAACTTGTCCACACCACGCGTGCCCGCACGCACCGCGCATCGGCCATAACGCTCCGCTTGCAAATGTATAATGCAATATGCTCGAGCTCTTCGCAACCGAAAGATGAATTATTCAAAAAGGTAAAAAAAAAAAAAATCTACTTCAAACCCTCACACTGTTACAAAGCGACGAAGAAGCCAAACGAGCAGCGATCAGCTTGCATGCCCACGCGCTCATGCATCAAAATCATAATTGCGTGTCGCGCGTTTGAACCCCATGCAAATAAGAGGACAGGTCAGTGCTGACCTCGTCCCCTTCGCGCGCGGGCAAAGCCTCCTCGGTCTGTACATGTCCTCGTGATGAATAGAGTGCGAATACATCGAGCGAACTGATTACATCTCTCGATTGGCCGTCCCCTGCCTCGGGTACAAATCTCTGTTTAGGTCATATGCGTGCGACTCTGAATTATTTATTTATTCGGTGTCCGTTTATTTTGAACCAACTGCCAGGCCGCGAGGTCGAAGCAAGTGGGTAGGCACGTTAAAACTTAAAAGTAAAATCACTCTTAAGTTTAAAAACTATTACAGAAGAAATCAGGCACATTTGCACTACATACGGCATTTCGTTGAAGACAGTTCCATTCGTCGACGCACTTAAAGAAAATCTGTAAGGCATAATGGATTTATTCTGTTTTGTTCTAGTTGTGCTAAACACAGTTTGCATGTGCACCATGTTTGTAAAAATCAATAAAGTAATGACCATGTAGCAAACGGGGAAAAAAAAGATCCTTGTGAAGGAGACAGAATCTGCCGATTGAGGGCGATTAAAAATAAATCTGGCAACTTTACTTCGTACGCGTTCTTTATTCGTGAACATTTTGGTGCGTGAATGGCTTCCGAACTTGGTTTTACACAATCGATCGGCGATGATATCTGTGACTGATACGTCGCTAATTTGAGCTCTAAGGACCCGCACATTGTAACTTTTCAGAAATCTACGGCGTGGCTTCCGGATCAAGACTGCGCGCGAAACGTCGCCAGAAACCAAGGAGCGTGCCAGCAACCGCGTGTCCTTCAAAAGCCCTCGTACTAAATGCAAGCGAGCGCAGGGCGAAGGGGAGCCCCTAAACCGAGGAGCGGAACGGATGCTCCCCAAGAAGAAGGTCCCGGGTTCGACTTGGTTCGACGGCGGTGCCCTACTTGGGCACGCCGGGCACGTGTTCGGCTCGACCTCT